GTGCAGGGGGCCTCCTTCTAAACGGCAGCTTCACGCCCAGGGGTTCCCTCTGCAGTGCTCTGATCTCGTCAGCATCTGAGGCTCTTCCCTCCCCTTCCTTTGAATTCCAGATCGCATCTGTTTGCTACTTCTCTGGCTAATTATTGTAATTATATAAAACAATAACCATCACCAATCCAGCATTCTGAATTACATTGTTTTGCATCATAAACAAATCTGTTTATAGCCTGTCGGGCGATCAGCGTGGCGTTTAATTGTATGTGCTCTGGGCTGCAAGCGACGGTGGTCAGCCTCCAGCGTGGCCAGGCCTGTCCCTTGGGCTTGGCACAGCCAGCAGAGGTGACGTTCATAGTAGAGGAGGAGGGGCCGTCCCGGACGCTGGTCCCCTCCTCTGTCGGTCCTGCCTTCCGGCTAACAGCAAACTCTCTGCTTTCTCTGTTGGCCGCACAACAGTCGCAGTCACAGCCGTCGTCACGATGGGGCTCTTCCTTGTCACTTAGCTGAGCAGGTGCCTCGGACACCTGTCGCCGCAGAGCACCCTGGGTCCACACGTGTTCTTCCCACTCTGCCGGTGAAAGCAAAAGCCCAAGGAAGTGAGGGACTTCCCCAGAGGGAATCACAAAACACCGTCGGCCAGGCTGGCCGGGAGTGCAGCTCCTTCGGCTGTAGCGCGCTCTGCCTTCAGCGAGCCGGGCCGGTGCCCACCTCGGGGCCTCCGCAGAGCCAGCTGTTTGCGCGGGCATCGGCCTTGGCGTTGCTGCAGCACTGGAAAGTCTTCTGGGTGCAACGTTTTTCAGAACCCGTGAGTGGTTTTCTCCATCATGCCTGCTGTCCGTGAAATTCTCGAAGGCCTGTCCTGGGCACGGACGGGTGGTCCCCAGCCGATCACCTCCACTTCGCATTTATGCTGCGATGAAAATGTGTGGAAAGTATCTGCCTACTCTTTGTTCACCTCTTATTTATTTATTTATTCTTACATTTTATTTATTTGAAAGGCAGAGAGAGAGAGAGAGAGAGAGAGAGAGAGAGAGATTGAGATCCCGTCTGCTGGTTCCCATCCCAGATGCCTGCAAAGAGCTGGGCTGGGCCAGGCCAAAGTCAGGAGCTGGGAACCCGTCAGGGTCCCCCACGTGGGTGGGAGTGGTCCGTCTATTCGAGCCGTCACCAGCTGCCTCCCAGGGTGCGCATCAGCAGGACGATGGTGGCAGCAGTAGTGGAGCTGGGACTTGAACCCAGGCCCCCGATGTGGGATTTGGGCGCACGTAGCAGCGTCTTACCCACTGCCCCACACGCCCATTCCATCCCCACGCGGCATGTGGACATCCCAGAGTCGAAAGAACGTGCTGGGCAGCTCTGTGGGTAAGGAAGGGGCAAGGCTGGATTTGAGCCCAGGCTGCCCCCGGCCCGGGAACGCCAGCCAGAGGCGGCGCTGCCGTCACGCCAGAGCCCGCCGGCCTCAGGCAGGTTTCTCCTGTGTCCCAGCAACAAGCCACGGGGAGACCACGTAACGTGGGTGTGCAAAGTTGCAATTGTCCGGCACGTGTTTTAGCTTCGTCTCCCAGAGTTCCTCGCTCACTGTGGCTTTGTTCTGAAATCCTTTCCCAGCCTGCTCGGTTCTACGGTGTGTTTAAGCAAAATATTCATTCATTTATTTATTTGAAAGGCAGAGTTTCAGAAAGGCAGAGAGAGAGAGAGAGGTAGAGAGAGGAGAGAGAGAGAGGTCTTCCATCTGCTGGTTCACTCCCCAATTGGCTGCAATGGCCAAAGCTGCTCAGATCCGAAACCAGGAGCCAGGAGCCGGGAGCCCTTCCAGGTCTCCCACATGGGTACAGGGACTCAAGGACTTGGGCCATCTTCTACTGCTTTCCCAGGCTGTAGCAGAGAGCAGGCTCAGAAGTGGAGCAGCTGGGACTCGAACTGGAGCCCATATAGGTTGCTGGCACTGCAGGTGGAGGCTTAACCTACCAGGCCACAGTGCCGGCCCCTGGGGTTTTCATACAACACGCAACACGGGCCTCGTGTGTGGCTTCTTGCACTCAGCAAACTGTTTTCAAGGCACGTGCCAGGACTTCCACTCCTGTGGCTGCACGACGCTCCACCCTGCGGTTCTGCCGCTGTTGGCGCACAGTGGGTGTGTGTCTATGTCGCGTCCACCTGCAGGGTGTTTTGAGTGGGGCTACCGTGAGCATGCATGAGCACACGTGTGTCTGAATCCTTGTCCTGTGCCTTGGATCTGTGCCTGGGAACGGAGTTGCTGGGCCACACGGCACCTGTCCATCTTTCTGCGGGAATGCCAAACTGTTCCTGTGGTGGCTACGGCACCATGGCACCGCACGCTCCTACCAGAACTGCTTTCCTGGTCCACCCCTCCGCATCCTCACCGACTCCTGTTACGGCCGTTACGTCCCAGGGCCAAGTTGTGTGTCGTTGTAGTTCACAGTTCCTTAAGTGACCAGAGCACATCCCTCCATGTCCTTGCATGTCTTCCTTGGGGAAATGTTTATTCAGATCATTTGCTCATTTTTAAGCTGGGTAATCTGTAATTTTCTCGTTCAATTATAAGAGCTTATTTTATGGGGCCGGTGCTGTAAGTAGCAGGTGAAGCCGCCGCCTGCAGTGCCGGCATCCCATACGGGCACTGGTTCGAGTCCCGGCTGCTCCACTTCCGATCCAGCTCTCTGCTGTGGCCTGGGAAAGCAGTGGAAGATGGCCCAAGTCCTTGGGACCCTGCACCCATGTAGGAGACCTGGAAGAAGCTCCTGGCTCCTGGCTTCAGATCAGCACAGCTCTGGCTGTTGTGGCCATTTGGGGCGTGAACCAGTGGATGGAAGACCTCTCTCTCTCTGCCTCTGCCTCTGCCTCTCTGCAACTCTGCCTTTCAAATAAATAAATAAATCTTTTTTTAAAAGAAGAGCTTATTTTATATATTCTGGATATATCTGATATGTGATTTGCAATTTTTTTCCATTCTGTGGGTTGCCTTTTTGCTTTCTTATTGGTATCCTTTGATGAAAGTTTTATTAAAAAGATTTATTTACTTATTGATTTATTTGAAAGAGTTACAGAGAGAGAGAGACATACACAGAGAGAGCTGTGTCACTCCCCAGATGGCTGCAACAGTCCGTGCTGGGGCCAGACCAAAGCCAGGAGCCAGGAGCTTCTTCCAGGTCTCCCTCAAGGGAGCAGGGCCCCAAGCACTTGGACCATCTTCCGCTGCTTTCCCAGGCCATTAGCAGGAAGCTGGGTCAGAAGTGGAACAGCCGGGACACAGACCAGTGCCCGTATGGGATTCCAGTGTTGTAAGTGGCGGCTTCACCTGCTACGCCACAACGCCAGCCCCCCTTGATCAAAGTTTTTAATTTTGAAATCAAATTTGTACATTTTTTCTTTCGCTGCTTGTACTTTTGGTATCATATTTTAGAATTTGTTGCTAAATCCAAAGTCATGAAGATTTAATCCTCTAGCTCCAAAGAGTCTTGTAGCTTTTGCTTTTACATAAAGGTCTGTGGTCCGCTTTGAATCAGTTTTGTCTATGGCGCGAGGTAGGGGTCCATTCTTTATTCTTTTCTAGGCAGATAGCCAGTTGTAGTCTCTCTCTGTGTGTGTGTGTGTGTGTGTGTGTTTTAAAGATTTATTTATTTATTTGAAAAGCAGAGTTATAGAGGTGGAGAGAGAGAGAGAGAGAGAGAGAGAGAGAGAGATCTTCTATCCACTGGTTCACTCCCCAGACGGCCGCAACGGCCAGAGCTGAGCTGATTTGAAACCAGGAGCCAGGAGCTTCTTCCGGGTCTCCCACGTGGGTGCAGGGGTCCAAGGACTTGGGCCATCTTCCACTGCTTTCCCAGGCCACAGCAGAGAGCTGGGTCAGAAGTGGAGCAGCCGGGACTTGAACCGGCATCCACATAGGATGCCGGCACTGCAGGCAGCGGCTTTACCCACTACACCACAGCAGCAGCCTCTGTACTCTCTGTTTTTAACTTAATTTATTTAGTTGTAAGTTTGCACAATTCAGCTTTGGATCATGGCTGTGTTTAACAATTGGCTTGCAAAATTCCTGAAAATTTAACAATCTGCTCTCAAGCCTCCTTGACTCCAGCACGCCCTCCTTCCAGCACGCTCTGTGCTAAGGGCTGAATTTGTTTCTTTCTTCTTCTCCTGGGTGGTCGGTGGCTCTCGCAGCCCCTGGAGATGGGTGCCTGAGGGAGAGCCGGAGCTCGGTTCCTCCAGCCGCAGACCCGTGCAACAGTTCTCTCCCTGACTCTCACTTTGCCTTCACGATGCGTTTGCTCACCTGCCCCTCCTGGCTTAGAGAGAACCGACTCAGTCCCAGCTGAATCTGGGCGTTGGGCGTTGGGCCGGGACCAGAGCCTCGCCTGACACTGCTCTCGTGTCACCAGGTCAAGAGGAGGGGGCTCCGTTCCGTGTGATTCCAGAGAAGCAGTGACCGGGGTGTTAGCATGAGCACGGCCCTCGCAATGTCTGGGGCAGAACCATGCTTGCCTGAGATCCAGCGTCATCTGAGAATCCCGTTATTTGTTTTGGCAAAAACCTCCGCTCCTGTCACCATTCTCCCTATGGTCCCCGTCCTATAGCAGAGCCCCAGGGCCCGGGGGCGGGAAAGGCCGATTCCCTGTCCATTTTACAGACCTGGCAGTTGAGTCCCAGACGGGGGGGAGGCTCGCCCCCGTGCACGGCATCACTGTGGACTCCAAGGAGCTGCAGGAGCTGCAGGCGTCTCCCCGGTCCTGAGTCGGCACATTCCCTGGGTCTCCTGTAGGCGGTGCTGTGTGTGCTGGCACCGGGCCTGCCGCAGTCAGACATGCCCTGGCCCCACCTCTTGCCTTACCACCTGTCAGTGGCATGATGGGTGGAGCCTCGGTGTCCCCTTGGCCTACGTGGGGACGAGGTACTCTCTGGGGACACTGCTGCCAGGCTGCAGCGGGGGCAGGGGGTCGGGGAGGGGAGAGGCAGGCACAGTAAAGTGTTCTCGCCGCCCGCAGGTTGGCCAGCGTCCAGAGGATGTGGCATGGAGGCTCCGGAACCCACCTGCCCTGCCCCACCTGCCAGGGACCAGCCGGCTCCTGCGCCTGGTCCCCCAGGGGCTCCGGGGGGGCAGGCCTCGCCGCGCCTGACCCTGGGCCCCGTCCTCCTGCCGCCAGAGCAGGGCCTGGCTCCCACCGTGTTCCTGAAGGCGCTGCCCATCCCCCTGTACCACACCGTGCCTCCCGGGGGCCTGCAGCCGCGCGCCCCGCTGGTGACCGGCAGCCTGGACGGGGGCGGGCTGCCCTTCCTCCTCAGCCCCCTGCTGCAGCCGGAGGGGCCCAGTGTGGCCCAGGTGGGGAAGCCCACAGCCTCCACGCTGACCGTGAGCCTCGTGGGCGCCCTGCCTGTGCTGTCGCCGGGGCCCACGCTGGGCAGCCCGGGCAAGGTGCGGAATGCCAGCAGGTACCTGTGCCCGCACTGCGGCCGCGACTGCCTGAAGCCCAGCGTTCTGGAGAAGCACATCCGGTCGCACACCGGCGAGAGGCCCTTCCCTTGTGCGGCCTGCGGCATTGCCTTTAAGACCCAGAGCAACCTGTACAAGCACAGGCGGACACAGACCCACCTCAACAACTCCCGGCTGTCCTCCGAGTCCGAGGGGGCGGGGGCCGGCCTCCTGCACGAGGTCGACAAGGCTGGAGAGACCTCCGGGGCAGGGACAGGAGAGGGGGCCTCAGAGAGACTCCCCCTGGGAGCCCGGCTGCCCCTCGGGGCCAAGGACCTCGAAGCGGTTTCCCGTCCAGGGTCCACCCCCGCCGACAGGGAGGTCCCTCCGGACTCCGCCCATGCGGCGTGCCCCGGGCTCTCGCTGGTCAGCACACAGCCCCGGCGGCCACAGCCGGAGCAGAAGCCATGTTCCCTGCAGCGGCAGCAGGCCACGGCCTCGGAGAAGCCCTGGGACGCCAAGGGCTCCGAGGGCCGGCTGAGGAAGTGTGAGAGCACCGACTCGGGCTACCTGTCCCGCTCCGACAGCGCCGAGCAGCCGCCGCCCCTCTCCAGCCCCCTGCACAGCCTGTCTGAGCACAGCACCGAATCCGAGGGAGAGGGAGCCCCGGGCCCGGGGCCTGGGGGGCCCAAGACGGAGCCCGGAGGGCCAGGGGCCAGCCTGGAGCTAGAGAAGAAGCGTCTGGAGGAGCGGATCACGCAGCTCATCTCCCGCAACCAGGCCCTGGTGGACGACCCCCAGCTGGACCACGTGCGGCCCCGCAAGACCGTCCTGTCCAAGCAGGGCAGCATAGACCTGCCCACGCCCTACACCTTCAAGGGCTCCTTCCACTTCGACATCCGGGCGCTGGAGCCCGGCCGCAGGAGAGCCGCCCTCGGCCCGGCCCGCTCCACCCTCACCTCTCTGGACAAGTCAAGGCCCCTCTTCTTCCACTCCGTCCCCACTCAGCTCTCCACCGCTGTGGAATGTGTCCCTGTCACCAGGAGCAACTCCCTGCCTCTCGTGGAGGGTTCAAGGACTTGGCCAGAGCCCGCCGACCCCCAGGACGCCTGCCCCAGCACACTGAGTCCTGGGAGCCCCAGGCCCACCCCGGCACGCCTGGGCTACCGCGCGGGGCTGACGTTGGCGGACATCCCCGGTGGGCACCCCCGGGCTCTGGTCAGACAGGCTGCCGTGGAGGACCTGCCCTGTACCCCCGCTGGCGACACCCCGGGCCCCGAAGAGGACACAGCTGGAAAGAGAGCAGCCCCGGGAGAGGGGACAGCCAGTAAGGGCCGAGCGGCCAGTAGGAGGGGCAGCCAGAGGAGGCTGGAGATGTTTTCCCAGGAGAAGTGGCAGGTGTACGGGCACGAGACCTTCAAGAGACTGTACCAGAAAATGAAGAGCAGCCACCACGGAGGCCAGAGAGGCCGGGAGGGGAGAGGGGCCGGCACGACAGCACCGGACCTTCCTCTGCCCCGGGAAGAGGCTGTAGCGGGCGAGGGCGCAGCCCAGTCCCAAGACGGGAAGAGCCCCGTCCCCGGGCACGTTTCCATGGGTGCCAAGCAGGGGCCCTGGGCGAGTGGGCCGGCCCCAGACGACGCCCTGGGGTCCAAGCCCCCGAAGCAGAGGGAGGAGGCGTCTGGAGCGGGAGGCAGTGAGCAGTGCCGGGCGCCCAGAGCCGGGTCACCCCCTACCCTTGGCAGCACAGCCCCGCCCTGCCTGGGCAGTAGGAGCCCCCTGTTCCCTCCCAACGGGAGGCTGGAACCGGGGCAGCAGCCGCCCCTAGCGCCTGGCCCCCTCCAACAAGGTGACCTGGAGGCCTCCAGACCGGTTTTGCCAGACCTCAAGCTGCAAGGGGGAGCCTGCAGTGGTGGGGGTGTGGAGGAGACAGGTCCCTGGGCCCATGCAGTCCTGAGACGGCCCAGCCGTGGCTCTGGGGAGCTGCAGCTCCCCTCGGAGAGGAAGAAGCCGAAGGTGGAGGGGCCAGGCAGCCTGGGGACCCTGGCGGCAGAGACCCTGGGTGCCCCTGCAGGAGCCACCTCCCCACGGTCCCGGAAGCAGGATGGGGACCTCGGGGAGACTCCAGGGAAGCCACACGGGAGTGCCGGGCGGGTGGGCGAGGCCCTGGAGTCCCCTGGCGCCTCCTCAGCTGCCCCTCCTGCTGCGCCCAGGGACAAGGAGTCCCCCCTGCGAGCTGCAGCCGGGGCCCCCGGGCCTCGCCCCATGGCAGCCCCCCAGCCCCAGGCCGTGGTACACAATGCCTTCCCCCCCAAGTACCTCCTCCGGCTACCTCAGCGAGAGACGCCTGCGCCTCTGCCCGGCGTCCAGGGGCCCCTGCAGGGCCCGGACCCTGCCTGCAGGATTGCAGGGCCCAAGGAGCTGGCGTCCGTCGTTGGCCCTCCCCTGGCTCCCAGCCCAGCCGCAGGCCCAACCCCGGGTGAGGCAGGTGGCGTCTCGGAGGACCCCCGCTGGTGCAGGCCGCGTACTGGGAGGAAGGAGGAGCAGAGGGGAGAGCAGGAGGGAGCCAGGGCACATGCTGGCATCCCTGCGGCCGAGCAGTCTCCCGAGGCAGCGCCAGGCACCTCCGGGGTCACAGCCGCCTGCGCGTCCTCCTGTGCCCAGGCCGTGGAGGGCGAGACCCTCACCACCCACCACCCCTGTCCCTCGGCGAGCACCAAGCCCTCCGGGAGCGACCCAGATCATGGGGCCCCCGCCCCGGGGCTGGGAGGGCCTCCTGGGACCTCCCCAGAGGCGTCTCCTCTCGGGCCCCGGGCAGAGCCCAAACTCCACTGGCCCTTGCAGTCCAGCTGCTTCCCCACAGTCCCAGGCTGGCCCGAGCTGGCCTTGTCTCCTCACTCAGGGACCCCCAGGAGTTCCGGGGCACACAGCCCCTTCCCCTCCCTGAGGGCGGAGCCCCGGCTCACGTGGTGTTGCTTGAGCCGCAGCGTGCCGCTGCCCGTGGAGCAGGAGAAGAGCTCCTCTGTGTACTTGGCTTTGCACTTCCCGGGAGGTGGCCCCCAGGATGAGGGTCCTGACCCCTCATCTGTGGGCGGTGAAGGATGGACCAGGACGCGCCCAGGAGGAGGAGGAAGAGGAGGAAGAGGAGGCGTGCTGGCACTGGCATCCAAGGTAAGCCCGGCTTTGCCCAGGGCCGGTGTGCCCAGGGGGCGTGCTTAGCAGGCAGGACTCGGCCGGCCGCGTGAGCGTGGGAGGTGGTCCCTGGTGTCATCGGCTGTTGGTTACTGCGTCTTCCCAGCCGGTGCTGAGGGACACTGGGGTGACCACACGCAGGGCAGGAAAGTATAGAGGCCAGAAATGCAAAGCAAACAGAAAGACAGCTGTGAAAACCAGTTCCAAAGAAAGAAGTATTGTCCCTGAGATCCTGTTCGTGACTAGAAGTAGCACCAAGCTCTGAGCCTCCTGGCCACAGAGGTCTCCTTTGTGGTCCAGCCCAGGGAAGGTTCCAGAAGGTTGTGGTCAGGACGCTTGCCCGGCCTGGTGGCAGCCCCTCACGGACTCAGGCCGCTGGTCAGTGCTGCAATTTCATGCCTGGGTTTCCGCAGACAGGCACCCGTCTGCAGAGAGAAGCCCTCTGGGTTGTGCCTGTCGCGAGGGCCGTGTGCAGTGCGATGCCAACATGCCTGCTGTTTCCAGCTCCCAGGGGTGATGGCCCAGCACCCGGGGTCTGAGCCAGAGCAGAAGAAGGGACCGCCTCAGCGGAGGACCAGGATGTGGCGCGGAAACAGCAAGCAGAAAAAGCTGAGGATCAACCCCAAGAGGTAGGACGTGCGGCCACTGTGCCAGCGCCTCACCTGCCCCGGCTCCGCCCGCGCGGAGAGCTGGGCACAGGACCCGCAGAAACACCCCCGTTCTTCATGAAAGAGTTCCTGCTTGGTGGGGGCGGGAGTTTAGGTCCAGGGCCTGCCCGTGCTGCCCCATCCGGCCGCGCCCCGCGGTCCTGTGGGTTTTCCGACGGTGCCTTTTTAGGACCAGTAATCCGGCAAATATTTGAAATGACTGGGTTGAAAAACATCCGTTTGATTGAAGTCCTGAAGAGAGAGCGAGCATGTTAATTATTTACAGCTTTTATTGCTTTTTTTTTTAATTATGCAAGTAATGTGTGCCATTTGCAGAAAATTAGAAAACACAGGCGAGCAAAGATGAGGAAACGCGGGGGTCGTTCAGCCTCCGTGCCCGCCGCTGCTGACAGCCGGCAGAGGCCCTGTCGGCAGCACGCGCACGCGCGCACGCACGCACGCACACGGCACGAGCGCATGCACGCACGCACGCACGCACGCACGCACGCGGCACGAGGTGCGGTCCGGCTCTGCGCTGCCCTCGCTCATTTCCCTCGTGGTCCTGCTCAGAGCCCTGCAGCTGTGCGCGCCACACAAGAGTCCCCCAGCCGGCTCTCCCCAGGCCGCCTCCCCTGGTCTTTCGTCTCCTTTCCCCCACGCTCTCCTCTCTCCCGAGGTGGCCGGGGACTGCCCCTCACCTGATTCTCCAATGCACGCGCCACGCCCCGGCTCCCAACACGGCCCCCTCCCTGGAATGCCCGCAGCCTTCTCCCCCTCCCGTCAAGTTTATCCCGAGCCTGGACCCTCTTCAAGGGGCGACAGCGATTGCTAACTGTCCCTTCCTGCCGCCCAGACCCTCAGCAACTGGGAGGGCCTCCCCTCTTCCCAGCCCATGCCCCTCATCGCCCGCCAGGGCGGAGTGTCCCTGCCAACGCCACAGCACCGAGCGCCGGCCGTGTGTCCACGCTGTGCCAATGGCATCGTCACGTGCGTTATCTCGGTAGATCCTTGGGGGCTCCAGGAGGCAGGCGGCATGATTCGCTCCGTTTTTCCTTTTGAGGACGCTGGGAAGGATGCGCATCTGAGGCAGCGAGTCTCACTCTGCAGCCTGTGTGGTCCCAGCACCCTGCCCCAGTGCCCCTCGCCTGTCCTGTGCACACCGGTGCCCTGGAGTTTTCTTGCAAAGCTGCCGTAGATTCTGCAGGTCAGGATGGAGCCTGAACTAACTTACTTTCTTTCTTTCTTTCTTTCTTTCTTTCTTTCTTTCTTTCTTTCTTTCTTTCTTTCTTTCTTTCTTTCTTTCTTTCTTTCCTTCCTTCCTTCCTTCCTTCCTTCCTTCTTTCTCTCTCTCTCTCTCTTTCTTTCTCTCTCTCTCTCTTTCTTTCTCTCTCTCTCTTTCTTTCTTTCTCTCTCTCTCTCTCTCTCTCTCTTTCTCTCTTTCTTTCAAGATTTATTTATTTATTTGAGAGGCAGGATTACAGGCAGGGAGAGGGAGAGACAGAGAGAGAAAGAGAGAGAGGTCTTCCATCCAGTGGTTCACTCCCCAAGTGGGGAGCCAGGAGCTTCTTCCGGGTCTCCCACGTGGGTGCAGGGGCCCAGGCACTTGGGTCATATTCTGCTGCCTTCCCAGGTGCATCAGCACCCCTGCACCAGCCCCAACTTCTGCATTTCTAACACACGGACAGGGGCTGGCCCCTGGAGCTGGCCTGGAGACGTGAGGTCACATTCTGTTAGCTAGAAGCTAGTCAGAGGTTCCGCTCACACTCAGAGAGGGGGATTCCAGGAAGGTGTGATGCACGGGGCCACCCTGGGGCACAAGCCCCCAACCCCCTGGCTGGCTGGCTGGCTGGCTGCCTGGCTGGCCGGGTTTTCTCGTCCGGGGCCTCATGGTCGTGGTGAGCAGTTGCCGAGATGCCTGCTTTTGGTCTGGGACGCGTCTGTGGCTGGGGAGGCGTGAAGAGGGGACCATGGCGCTAGACGGTCAGAGAGGAAGTCTCTTCTGAGCCACTGGTTCTATAGCATTCAGCTGTGAAACTTCGATGACGGTGCCTGCTAACAAGCTGGCCCCACCCGCAAGCTCAGCTTCCCAGTCTCCGAGTGGTGGGGTCGACAGTGACATGCGAGCTCCCTGGACAATCCGTGCTCCCCACGCTCTTCCCACCTGCTGTATCTCTGGCGCCGTGGGGCTGGGGCTCATCCTGGGTGCAGTTGGGTCCCTGGTCCCAGGGGGCTTCAGAGCCTCGCGAGGAGCTGCCTGCTTGCTTCCAGAGCACTCTATGTGGTTTTCCACACTGTGCACGTGATCAATGACCAGTTTAGGGCAGACGTCAGCGGCGACATCCAATCCGTCCTGTGTATTTCCTTCAGACAGCCGCTTGGCAGAGCGTGGGCTCTGTCTGTCTGTATTAGGTGTCTATTACCGCGTGTGTTGCTTTATTACCGGTGGTATTACGGGTGGGTGAGAGGTCCAGGATGGGTCTCGCTGGTTACAATGGAGGGGAATTCTCCAGTGTTCCTCTCCGGCGGCTCGGGGGCACTGGCGTCCTTGTCCTCCAGGGCTGGGGGCAGAAGCCCCTTCCTCCGCCCAGGCTTCCCCCTCCCCAGTGTCCCCGCCAGGGAGAGTGTGCCAAATGGCCTCACATTTCAATCTCCTGCTCCTCCTCCCCTCCCATCCCCTCCCCTCTCCCTCCCCCTCTGCCTCCTCCTCCTTTCTCCTCTCTGTGGCCCAACCTCCTGCCTCTGCTCTCCCTTCTGCACGTGGTTGCATTGGGGTCACCTGGGAAGTCCCGTGGCCCTTGACCACCTCGAGGTGGGGCCTTCAGTCCCTCTGCCTCACCGGGTGGGGAATCCCTAGGTCTGGACGGCTGTCTCTAAGGGGCGCTGTTCTGCCTGCCTCGCCCTCCCTTGCCCAGGTGTGCAGGTCTGTGGGAAGTTTCCCACCCGTGTTTTCTCTCTCGTCCACCCCCTAGCCGTCACCTGTCCATCACCTGACCGCCTTCAGGCCAGCAGCCCACCTCCTGATTCAGGTTTTCATTTTCACCCTGGTTGAAGTTCTGCAGAGAACCACACGGTGCAGTAGAGAGGACCCCACAGGTCTGTTTGGAGAGAACGATGCAATTCACTTGTCGGAGTACCTGCATTCTTTTTCTCTTAGTTGAAAAAGCATTAAAAACCCAGGAAAGTTCAGAAAAACATATAACCAACTCCTGGACAATAATGAAGCAAAATTAACAAATGTTAACAGTTTGCCAGATTTGCTTCTGAACCTCAAAAATAAGATTTCTGTATATTATATGTACAAAAGTCATGGCAGCAAAAGCTAAGTTTATTTTGCTGCAAAAGTTTGGAACTGATGCATAAGTTTTCTTTCTTTTAAAAAAGATTTTTTATTTTATTTATTTGAAAGTCAGAGTTACAACAGAGAGAGGAGAGGCAGAGAGAGAGAGAGAGAGAGAGAGAGGTCTTCTGTCCACTGGTTCACTCCCCAATTGGCCACAACAGCCAAAACTGCGCTGACCCGAAGCCAGGAGCCAGGAGCCTGCTCTGGGTCTTCCACTTGGGCCATCTTCCAGTGCTTTCCCAGGCCACAGCAGAGAGCTGGATTGGAAGAGGAGCAGCCAGGACTAGAACTGGTGCCTATATGGGATGCCAGCACTTCAGGCCAGGGCGTTAACCCGCTGTGCCATAGTGCCGGCCCCTGCATAATTTTTCATAAGGTGCATTCTCCATGAACCTTTTGCAGGCTCCTCCTGTGATGCATAGAATATAAAAGTGACATCCAGTTGAAGACAGAAGGATGCAGTCTTAGGTGTTTTTCACAGATCACTTCAATCTGTGTTTTCACACTGGACAGCTAATCAGCGTCTCCATCAATAATTCATAATCTTGTTTTCAGTCTAAAGTTTGTCTAAGTGTCGTAAGCTCAATGTGGTGCTTTTGGCCGTGGGGCCAGGTCGGGCTCACCCAGGTTAGTGGCCATCTGGGGTGCCATCCTGGGAGGCAGGGTGGTCCCGTGCTCAGTAGGTTCTCTACTGTCTGTGGCTATCAGATTTTTAAATGACAAGTGCAGTTGATTGGATCATCCTGTATCCTAGGTTTGAATACCTTCCCGTCTGTTATGATGTTGCAATATTTTCCCAGTCTCCTTTAAAAGCCCTGTGTGCACACTTACCCACAGAAGCGCTGGTCGTCAGTTGCCTCGCCTCTCCGCCTCTCCGTTCTTTTTCTGCCTGCCGGGCCTGGCTTCTGGGGGTTGTTTTCTTCCGCCTAAAGCATAGTCTTCAAAATTTCCTTTAGCGAAGAGAACTCTCAGTCTCCAGCAGTCTGAAAATTATTTATGTTGTTGTGTTGTTGGAGACCGATTTGCCAGGTGCGCCGGGTTGACGGCTACTTTCCCTGGCACATCAAAGCTGCCTCTGCACCACCCTCTGGTCCGCATTTTGCGGCGGAGAAGCCGCTATTAGTCTGCTCGCCTGTTTTTTTCAAAGTCTTTTATCTCTGGATGCTTTCAAGACCTTCTTTTAATCTTTGGTGTTTGGTGGCTTCACTTTGATGGACATGGGTGTGTATTGCTGTTTATTTATTCCATTAGGGATCCACTGGACTTTTGTGATTTCTGCATTGATGTCTTTCTACACCATCCCCAGCGATCACAATTTTTTTTTTTTAATTTAGTTGTTTGAAAGTCAGAGTTCCTCCATCTGCTGGTTCATTTCCCAGAGGGATGGAAGGCAGGAGCCGGGAGCTTCATCTGGATCTCCCGCATGGGTGGTGGGGGCCCCCTCCACTGCCTTTCCCTGGCCGCTGCAAGGGGGTGAGCTGGAAGTGCAGCAGCCTCCACACTAACTGGCGCCCATGAGGGATGATTTTTTTTTCCTTTGTTGATTTTGCCTTTTGTGCTAAACTAAAAACTCTGTGCCTAAGCCCAGTTGCAAAGACACGTTCTCATCTAAAGTTTTGTAATTGAAGTTTCTATATTCTGT